ACGTGAGGCCCACATATCATCTGCACATACTCCCTCCGTTTAAAATTGTTTGACACCGTTGACTTTTTAGTAACTGTTTGACCATTCATCTTATTAAAAAATTTGTGAAATATGTAAAACTATATGTGTACATAAAAGTATATTTAACAATATATCAAATGATATGAAAAGAATAAATAATTACTTAAATTTTTTTAATAAGATGAATGGTCAAACGCGTACTAAAAAGTCAACGGTGTCAAACATTTTGAAATGGAGGGAGTATTTTTTTTTCTTCTCTTTTCTTCTCCTTCTCTTCTCTTCTCTTTTCTCTCCTCTCTCTTCCCTTCTTCGGGCCGGCGTCCAGCAGAGTTCAGCCAAGCCGACCTGGCAGCGCCGGCATGCGCAGCGACGACGGTGCACGTTGTCATCGACGCACGGGCAGCCGATGCTGGGGAGGCGAATGTTGTTGTTGGTGGTGGCGGTGAAGATGCCGGAGAGGAGGAAGAGGAAGAGCAGGAAGGAAGCAGCCATCATGGTGCTCTTCACCTTCATGGTCATCTTAATTAATTACTTTGTTTGGAGCTTATTTAGCTAGGTTTAGGCGTGGTTCGGTCGTGGTGAAATGCATGCATGGGGGTGTTATTTATCGAGCAATTAAGCCTATCCAGTATAAGAACACATGGCGACCGGATTCCATTGTTGCCACATTGTCGCAGCCGCTCCGCTGCCTCCCCTCCGCCGCCCGCTCCACCCGCAGCCCGCCGCCGCTCTGCTGCCTCCGCTCCGCTGCCGTGCTCACCCGCTATCTGCTCCGCCCGTAGCCCGCCGTCGCTCTGCTGCCGTGCTCGCCCACTGCCGCGCTTGCCGATTCCACCCGGTGCCAGCCAGAAGAAGGGAAGAGAGAAGAGAGAAAAGAGAAGAGAAGAGAAGGAGAAAAGAGAAGGAAAAAAAAAGACAGCTGACAGGTGATTTCCACGTACTTTTTTTAATTTTTTTTTGCTGACTAGGATGCCACATCAGCGAAACCACCAATATATACTGTCATAGGACCTTGTGTGCACGGTTTGCGTAAGTTTAGGGGTATACATTTCTGGTCTAGTGGTTAAGGGACCTCAAAAAATCTCTTTGTTAAGTTGAGGGACCTCCGGTGAACTTATTCCTACAATTTACGACTTGCGTCCAACCAACACTTAGCTACTGCTAACCCTAACCCACATGTATAGAAACTCTGGCTCATATGGATTCAATGGTTGGTAGATGAGGCAGGGTCGGATGTATAGGACAGGATTCTTAATACTACTGGCCCAATAAGAAGAAGCCTCACACTGTTTTTTCAGGCTTGCATTCTAATGCAGTTACGCTGCTGCTCCCTGTTTCGACCTGACCATGAGAAGCTAACTGTTGCTTCAGACCTTCAGTATCCTGATTATAAAATAAACAAAAAAGGATGATAAGATGACGAGAATCTCTTCCAGTTCGAGAGGACGAACTAGATGCATATAAATAAATATTACTCCCTCCATCTATTTTTGATAGTCATATTTCCAAATCTGAAAATTTTATTTTTGATAAGCATATTTCAATCCAACGACCTATCATCTTAATGATTTTCTCGAATTTAATGCGTGACTCTCCATTCTTCCATACATGATTGGCTACATAGGCATTGAGAAATGTAAATATTAATTAATCGCTTGTTTACGAGGAATGACTAGTAGCATATTTAAATGGATGATAAGTACAATTACTTATCCTTGGTCTGTGTGTCAAGATAAAATATGACTATTAAAAGTAGATGGAGGGAGTATAAATCAATAATTCAACATGGAAGAGAAAAAGTTAATACTAGTGACCATCTTGAGGGATCCGGCTGATGCTACCGATCAAGCAAGTTGGTACCGCACGATTCACTCCTCAGTTTGCCATGAACAACTTGCACGTAAAAGGTTGCTTTCGATCGAGCACAAGTGAAAAGGATTAACGAATATATGATCTATAATTCTGTATCCTGCCTAAGTAGCTAGGTTAGGTCTGTGGTTAATTTCCTTTCTTCAATAATACTAGCCACTTAAAGTCATGCAAACGCGCTGACATGAGATGTCATCTTTATTAAAAATCCTAAAATTGTTTTGTCTTTATAATTATAGTGGTCTTTTCACTAAATGTTACTTATTGCGAAGTAGTCCATATGTTACATATAGTACTACTACGCGATATTATTCCTTTTTTTTTTGGCACAACAATCATTCTTATTTCATGTCTCAAAATTAATCAGCAATAGACTACTTAGTGCAGCCCATTAAGTGCCCAATTAGTAAATGGGATCTAAATAGCAAGAATTTGTAGTATTTTGGCTTGATTTTTCAATCAAATGCCCTTTGACACATCCAGATAGAATAAAAATAGAGAGAGCTGGCATTCCCCTCTCCACAGAACTTTAAATCGAAATATAAAAATGGCCAAACTGCGCTAAAAAAAATTCCAAAATACAACAGAGAAAACATCACTAAAATTTATCCTTACCCATTTTTAACGAATTGGTACAGAGTGTGTCAATTTGATTGACAAAAGCAGGAGAAAATCGAGTTGTACAGGTATAAAAGGGAAACTTCACACAACGAAAAAGGTTAAGCTATAAGCTCTGAAAGATGTTTTGCTCCCTCAAGGCCTATATTTTGGCCTGAAAGATGTTTTGCTCCCTCAAGGTCTAGATTTTGGCCTGCTCCTTGATCTTTGTGCTCACCGCTATTGCTGAGAGTTCTTTATGTTAGAATATTCTTCGGTTTTCCTCTTTAGAGATTTCCCACGCCGTAAGAAGGATGAGAGTGTGCACCCTTTTTTTAAGGCCTCAGCCCGTGGCCAGCATCACCCACCATTCATAGATTGCCGTGGTTGCGCTCCATATTTTCAGGTTGATTTGCTCACGTGATGTCCAAGTGAAATCTTGTTTGAGATTTTCCTCATATACATACACTCTGTAAGTATGTGGAAGGATGTTTCTTTGGTGTATTGGCAGAGTGTGCAATAAATATTATTTGGCCAACCACATATTGTTAATTTATCAAACATCTATACTCTGTTTTGCACCATTAACATATGAAAACACACTATATCTTTTGTTCGATATTCTCTATAAATTTTCTTATAATCATTTGCATGCATTACTAGAACTAACTATATTCCATACCGCTTCTTCTACTAGGGAATAGCCTGAAACTAGTAGGGAAACTAGTTCCCTATGTTTTTTCATAGGGAACCCTTTCATGGGGAAAGATTTCTGGGGTAATAGAAGTGCCCTACCGTTATAGCTCTAAAAGCGTAGGAAAATTTCATAGGGTTTGAAATGGTACGGAACTTTGCTTACATAGCATTGTATCCAGTATGTATAGTAACTTTCCTTAGGTTTCTAAAACTGCAAGGATATTTTTATTTAATATATTTTCCTGCTCATGATACCTCAATTATTTCCCTTCAAAACGTTAAAATAGTAGGTTCACACTTACATCAGGGTTTACACTTCCATGCTATTAGTTCAAACATTCTAAAATCAAAATGGGATAAGATCTTTCAAAGGAGGGGAGTAGTTTCCACCAGCATGGCTAGATGCATTAACATACCTAGAGAAATTCTGGCCAAAGTACTTTCTGAATTCTCTTTTTTCTAATAGTGGATGGGCGGGGATGATGGTGAAGAAATAATTTGAGCTACAAAGCATGATTTTTTGGTGAAAAGTTTAGGGATTATATGGAGGGCGGCCATGGGAACCAGGGATAACCAGAAGTGATGGCATGTGTGAAGCATGTCCCCTAATTTCACCTGACTAGGGAGAGATTTGTTAGAGGCAGCTAGAGTTTTTCTCTATGGAATAGGCTTTGTTCGGAAGTCCCCTTTCTCAACTTTTTCTTTTTTTTTGCGCGCACGATTTTAAACTGCTAGATAAAGTGTTTTTTTATAAAAAAAAAGTTGCTTTAAAAATCATATCAATCTATTTTAAAGTATTTTTTAACTAATATACTTAATTAATCATGCATTAAAATATCGCTCCGTTATAAGTGCAAGTGATGGAGCCATGGAAGTTGCTAACCCATGCAAACGAAAGCAGCCTTAGGCAGGAGCTTGTATGGAGAGGAGAGAGATATATCAACGGAAATATGCTATTGGAAAATAATTGGATTGACCTATGACATGGAGGAAAATGAAAAAAGAACTAGTGAGAACACTAATATTTTGGACACTAATACGGTAAGTTTGGTGGGCCGTTTGTTCCTTACGAATATTGTAAAACTGGGAGAGAAGAAAAATCTCCCTACATTCCTAGAATGGTTTGAGGGCTGCTACAAAACGGGATCCCGTTGCAACGGGATAGACATATTAACTATTTTCTTGCACAGGTATCGTGTACCATGTAGCTGGTATCATAACAGGTATCAGGTACTGTCTCATAAAAGGATATCTCGTTCCAACGGAATACCGTTGTCTAGGTTTTCTGAATGGTTTAGTACGTGAATTTCTATTTCCCTTTACCTACACACACTCTAATAGGCAAATAATTAATCGGTAAGGAACACGGCGATTTTTACCACCGTTGTGGCGGAAAATGTGGGTTACCCGAAGTAAAAAGCGGAGTGCCCGGAGGCCGGAGCACCCTATTCTGTTGCTCCCGGGAGCCACTTAAATGCCCCCTCTCGGAGCATGCTGGCCCATATCCTCTGGCAAAAGAAAGTCGGTTGGCGAGAATCGCGACCACGCGTACGTACGTACGTACACGGAACACGCCCCTGTTCACTGTCGCCAACAGCTAAACAGCTAGCACCGCGCGCGCGATACGGCGATACCCACACCACCACACCTCGAACGACGAAATCCACTGAACTGGTGCACTGCTGCACACTCCGCCACACTACCCTACCCCTTTCTAACTCCCCGCTTTCGCCGTACACCGAACCTTTCGAACCCGGCCCATATACCACGCATCCACACGAATATACCCCAACCGTCCAACACATTAACACAACACGGTCAGTCGCGCACTACCACCACAGGCAAAGGCAACCGCGGGGTGGGTGGTCGTCGACTTGGTGCCTTTTCAGGCCACGGCAGCGACGCACGCCGTCGTCCCCGCCCTTTACCCTGACGCAACGGCCTCCACTGCGCGCGGTTGACGCCGCGCGGAAACGGGAGTACGTAGAAACGAGTAGAAATATCGCTGCCTCCAAGTTGCCGCGGCCAACCAGCCCGTGGCCTTGGTGCAGGTGCAGCGAACGGTGAAATGCAATCCCCCTGGCCCCGCGCGGCTATAAGTAGCCGCCTCATGCACCCGCGGCCTTAGCTAGCAAACCAGCGTGCTCCTCCTCTCCTCCACACACAATCCGATCGGTAGCCGCGGGCTCGTTGTTGCGATGGCCGGCAAGAACGGGAGCCTCTACGCGGTGCTCGGCGTCGCCAGCGACTGCTCCGACGCCGACCTGCGCACCGCCTACCGCAAGCTCGCCATGGTACGGTGCTGATTCCTCTGCTTTGCTCTGTTTTTTTTTTTTTTGCCGATTTAACCGTCTCCCAGTGGCTGTTTGTCTCCGGGCAGAAATGGCACCCGGACAAGTGCGGCGCCGCCGGGAGCTCAGCCGGCGGCGGTGCAGAGGCGGCCAAGGTGAGGTTCCAGAAGATCCAGGGAGCCTACGCCGGTAATTAAATCTCAGCCACCTTCTTCGTCTTCCTCTGCTTCTGACCAGTGCTCAGAGCACAAGCTGCCATTGATTTCGGACGCTGAGATTTTTTTTTAGCTTCTCGTTGATCGGTCTTCGCTGCTGTTACGGTCTGTCCGTTCCCGTTGTTTCACCATTCTGACAGCGACGTGGTTTTAACTGAACAGTGCTCTCCGATCCCAACAAGAGGATCCTCTATGACGTCGGAGCCTACGACAGCGACGGCGATGATGATGTAACAGCATTTTCCGGCCTTTTTTATCTCTTTTTTTTTGCACCAATCAATGATAAAGATATTTTGTGGCCGGCTTGTGTGCTGACTTGGTCGTGCCAATTCACGTGCAGGGCGCCGGTGAAATTCTCGGCGACATTCTCGAGGCCATGAACAAAACCGGCCCTACGGTAACAAACCTATCTGAATTCGAATTTCGACGTGAACTTTAAAAATTCGATGTAAATTCACACCCTGTTCATGCATGTTGGTGTGGTGAACGCGTGCGCAGGAGAATGGCAAGAACGAGAGCTTCGAAGACCTGCAGAGGCAGTTCGAGGAGCTGTTCCTCCGGCCGCCGGCGCCGGCGCCGCCGACGTCGTCGTCGTTCCGGTCGGCGGTACGTGACTGTCGTGTCGTACACCACTGATTCCTCTGACTGATACGACGAGACACAGCAGTTACCTAGCTGTATGTCCTTTCTGATTAGTGACTAAACAGGCCATCTTTTTCTTCAGAAATTAACTTTCCCATTTTTTTTAGAGTGTGCGTCGCTTTCTCTGACAACTGTTTGCACACAAGCATGTCGGGAGAAGAGCACGAGCTGTCGTTTTATACGGCATGCAAATTACAGTAATGGTTAGGTGCATTGCATCCTCTTGCCTGCCCAAGCTTAGAGAAGATTATCCATAAACAGTTTGGTCGCTTAATTAATTATAAGCACAGAATAGGTTTTCTTGCGCTACATGGACACTGATTACGTACACAAGATTTAATAACCCTTGACTAACTCTGTATTTCTATCTGTGCCTGATAATCTGCAGCAAGAGGACGCTGGGAAGTCTTCAAAGAGAAGGGCCGGAAGAACGTAGAAGTACGTACTTTTGGCCGAAGATTTTTGTACTGCAACATTTTTGAATCTATTTCGTACGTGCAGTGCTCAAGACGACCGTCATTTGTGCTAATAATTAAGCTGATTGATCAAGAAGAAAACGATTCAGATAATGATATGACGCACTGATGATCTAGGGCAGTAACCTGTAATCTCAATAACACCTTTGGCAGACGTCATTCGGTTTGCATGTATGCGGGTGGCTATTAATTTGCCTAGCTAGAAATTGGCCAATTTAAAGTTTGGCCACACGTCAATTCTTATATGAATATGTGCAATATTGTCAAATCTGGGTACTTCTCCCTGATGAATTAAATGAAGAAAAATGAGGGCTAATGATCAACAGATTATCCAGATTCATACCCAAAATTTATTATATTTTGGGATCGGTGGAGGCAGTATTATTGATTGGAATGTTCAGTTGTCCATCCATGTGCAGTATAAGAAATATTGAGGTGGGGGCAGTAAAAGATTATTTTAAATTTCCATGCAATTTTGCATAGAACAAAAAAAAAAGAATTGAGTTTGATATAATACTCTTTAGCTTCCATTTCCAAAGATACACTATTTTAAAAATAGAATTGGATTTATATGCAACTCTTAATTTCAACCTCAATAGATAAAATTTCCTCCCAACGTTTTTTAGATAATAAAATTGGTTCACATCTCTGATCTCTATCAATAGGCAAGAAACCAATCAGTTCTAAAACATAAATAAAATAACTCGAGAATATGGGACATTCACATCTCCCTCCTAATAAGATCCAGTTGAAAAATACTAGGCCGTTTCTATGAATTTGAGGCCACAGTGTGAAATACAAAAGGCACCGTATTTATATATAAAGTCACATCTCCAAATTTATTCTACATATGGAGCATCAAAAAAGAAAACATTATGAAATATTTATACACTTGATGCTGTCAGAAATTTTATCTATTTTATGGATAAAATATAATGAATTGAGTATATTTCACAAAACTATATGTATTTTGGCCGAATTATCGCAAAACTATAAATTTAAGACGTTGTACCACAAAACTACAGATTTAAGACCAAACATAAAAAAACACTATAGATTTAATACTTAAATATCACAAAACTACTGTTTAAATTTCTACCACTACTATTTTGTAAGAGTCATAAGTGTTGTAGTTTTGTATTTCATTTGGTGCAAAACATGTAGTTTTGAGATAATTTTGTTTCTAAACATGTAGTTTCATGAAACTTCATCTTAAATATGTAGTTCTTCGATAATTTTGATTCTAAACCTGTAGTTTTGTGATACATCACCTTAAATATGTAGTTTTGTGATAGATTGAGAAAAGTACATGTAGTTTTATGAAATTTACTCTAGTGAATTTGAGGGTAAGATTTTACACATAATGCTTTTGAAAGTACATGACAATTCTTTTCTCGATTTTTTTTAAATATTTATTAGTTGGTGTGTACGGTGTTTACACAGAAAACTTTTGTGCACATGATACGATACGTTCTCCAGTAACTGAACTCAAAATATAAACGATATTTGAATTAAGGAAAGATTTGCTACAGGACATCCAAAAAAACGTATAATTAGCTAAGGGACATTGCAAAAACACGTATTTGATGTGAGGCACCGCAAAAAAAATTGGTAATTAGTTGCTAGACACCCGCACCACTATTTTATTATATCTAGAGTAAATGGAGAGAGAGAAACAACCACAAAAGTATGATTTTGCTCCAGCCGGCCATGTAGCTCGCATATAGCTCCGATACCGCGGTGGCCACGAGATGTCCGGAACCGACGCAGCCCTCATACTGCAGCGATGATGAGTGCAGGAATGACGCTAAGCCACGGGCCCACTCAAGTGGGCCCCCTCGAACCCCCTAGAGAGCCGCCTCCCTGGTGACGACGGCGCGTGTCGCGGCGCTGCGGTGAGACCAACTGCGACCGCCTGCACTCCATGGTGTCCTGCTCGAGATGAACCAGGAGGTGGTCACACATTGTGCTTGCCTGCAAGGGTAGTATGTGGCGAAGCACCATCGTCGGTGTGGCCCTCGCACTGCAGCGGCAACGAGTTCAGGAACGACGCGAAGCTATAGGCCCAGGGAGGTCCTCTCAAACCCCCCCAAGAGAGCCAGCGACAACGGCGGGTGGGACGACAGCGTCGTAGCTGTATGCAAGGTGGACTTGGCATGCAGGGCAAAATTGTACTTTTGTGACTATTTCTCTCACTATTTTCTTTGGATATTATAAAATAATACCGCAGGCATCTAACATATAATTATCAGTTTTTTTATGTCCCATAGCATAACATGTTTTTCGATGTTTCCTAACTAATTATATTCCTTTTAATTTCTTATAGTAAATTTTACCAAAAAGAAATTAAATTCGCAGATAACGACGATAGCAATCACGTCGCCCTTTTCGCTACAATTAATAATAAGGGTCGCACGCATAGACGTACTACATCTACGTCTACGTGTTAGTACATGACAGAAGGCAAAGGAAGACCCTCGAAGAACATGGGCATCTCAACTGGACAGGGCAGCTTTTGGCATTGATGATACCGGGGACCCATTTTATGTGTGTGTGGATGGATCAGTGCTGAGAAACCTGTGATGGTCATCGATCAGAGACCAGCAGTTGCAGGAACACAACGCCGCGCACCTTCTAGCTACCTACACATGCCAAAATTTAACTTGGCCGGCCGTCCGCGAGCTTAATTTCTAGCCAATCTCTTATAGCTGATTGGTTGGCCTGTTGCTGGCACAAGCACTGACCACACATGTTTTTCTGCATACACCAGATCAAACCTATCATGATAGTTCATCGCTGGATTTTTCACAATTTGATCTTTTTGAAAACTTTATTTTACAAATAGACTCTTAAAATACTTATCTTAGAAATGATCCTTTTTTGGACGCCAGAGTCGCGCCGTGGTCCAATTGGATGGCGCCAGCAACTCTGGCACAGTTCTCCTACCACCGTGATGACTGGTCGGCGCCGACGTGGCAGGGGAAACGCGCCAATGAGGTTGGCGCCGCCCCCTCCCGCACCCACGCCATTTTTTTCCTCCTCCCTAGTGTAGAGGAGAGATGTGCAACTTTTTTTATTTTTCTTTTATTTTTTGATATTTTTTCATACTTAGGAGCACACAGAAACCAACCATAGAAAAGTTAAACTCAAATGGATGAAATATGTGACCTGTAAAATTTTCCAAAACTCTACCAAAAAGCTTCTCGCCTCGAAAACACAATCTTGCAACCGAAATTTGAAGGTTCTAATTTTTCCAAACCTAGCAGAGCAAGGGAAAAACGGATATAACTTCTTTTCTGCAGATATCCGTGGATATATAATTTACCTGATTCCGAGTCCGTATGAGAAAGTTATACCTGTTTTAAGGAAGGACACACGAATATAAAAGGAAAAAACTCAACAAACCCTAATTCTTTTTATAGGATGTAAAAAAACAATGTACTATTTTTTTACTAAGGAAAAAACAAAAAAAAAGAACAGGAAAGCTCTTACTGATATAATCTTGAGTGAATTTGAGAAGAGTGGAGAGATAGCAAGAGCAAGCAAGAGTGGCATTCGGACTCAAGCGCTAGGGGGGTGGGGGGATGGGGGCAGAGATGCTGGCGTGCTCCCCCTACCATGTCAGTTTCTGGTTGCCATGGTGGCAAGGGGGCAGCGCCAGAGAGGTTGACGCCGTCCCGTTGGACGACGACGCCAGCAACTCTAGCGCCCCAAAATAGACTATTTCTGGATAAGTTTTTTTAGGGGTCTATTTGTGAAATAAGCTTTTCAAAAGAATCAAGTTGTGAAAAATCCAGAATTCATCACCGCTTATTTGAAAATAACGCCCGCACGCGCGCGCTCTCTCTCTCTCTCTCAGTGTCTTAATTTATGAGGTCTCTTAAATTTTATAGGGTAGCAACCACACCAAACACACTTAAAATTTTGGTATGCCTATGCAATTGTCACAAAATTTATCTCTAAACCCATCCAATTCTCTTCAAACTGGTATGATAGCAATTTAAATATGCCCAAAATCTAAACTTTTTTATCATAGTACTCGAGGCATACACCATCGACCCTCCATGCTAGGGCAATAATGAATCTGGTCATCTCAAGCGTGTAGCAGCTGGATCCGCCACGCCAAGGAGGGGGGAGGGAGCTGCTTTGCTAGGGAGAGGTGGAGAAACCGTTGCACCGGTCGGGGAAAGGTGGCAATTGCTCGGTCATGTGAGGTGGGGAGGAGTCTTGGGACTTAGGCCTTGTTTAGTTGGGGGAAAATTTTGGGATTGGTTTTCACATTGGATATGCGGACATACATTTAAAGTATTAAGCGTAGTCTAATAACAAAAAAATACAGATTCCGGCAAGAAACTGTGAGACGAATTTATTAAGACTAATTAATCCATCATTAGTAAATATTTACTGTAGCACCACATTGTCAAATCATGGCGCAATTAGGCTTAAAAGATTCGTCTCGCAATTTACACGTAATCTGTGTAATTGGTTTTTTTCTTACATTTAATACTCCATGCATGTGTGCAAGCATTCGATATGACAGCGTGAAAATTTTTGTTTTGGAAACTAAACAGGCCTTAAAATACCAGAGTGCTTGGGCAGCTCGGCTCAACTAGTTTTTTTTTTTTAAGTTCAGCAGGAAGATGTTGGAATTAATGAATGGGCCTTAGCCCACTCGAAGATTAATTCTTTGGAAAATCACAAAAGCCCACCTCATGGGATGGCATGCATGTGGAGTTTAGTACCACCTTGCTTATTCTAGGAGAGGGGGACCTCCTTAAAAGGGAGGATGCCCTCCTAGCCACTTGAAGCATGTGTGGTGGAGAGAAGAGGGGAAACACACGCGCGCGCTCGCTCGCCTCGCCTGGCCTGGCAGGGCAGGGCAGGGCAGGCGGCGCGCGTGCACGACGTACGCGTTGAATGGTCCGAAAAATTGGCTCCTCACCCTTGCGCAGATGCAGCCTCCTTTTGTAACCGACCCGCCGTCTTCACGCAATATATGCGAAAATCAGTCTAGGGTTTGCCTCCTACTCTGTACTGCGCCGTCGCTCGTAGACTACTCCATCCCGCTCGCCAGCGTGCACCAGCGATCGGGAGAGCAGGTCTCCGGAACCTCTGCCTTTGACGTCCTGCACCGGGAGAAGGCGGCAATAAGGTTTTTGGGAAGCGCTTCGCGCGACTGCTCCCTGTTCGTTCGCGACGGCTCGCCTTCCTCTTCGCTCGCGTGTTTCGTGCCTTCGTAGACACCTGCGAAAAGTTTCGACCAAGCAGCCGGTCTTTTCGTCACCTCGGTACGTGTTCAATATGCTGCGCATATTTGATCTGTTC